TTTTTAGATTGTAAATCCTATTTCAAGATAAGATCAAATTCTTCCATAGTGAGATGCCTAATGTATTCATAGGTTTTTTTTTCTTCTAAAATAATAATGCTAATTGTCAAAAATCCAAGGCAAAAACCTATGCAAAGTGTGTTTTTTGTCAAAGGCTTCAAATTATAGTTGTTGCATAAACATTTATATTTTTTATCAAATTCTTTTTTAAATATCACTAAAAATATTTCAAAATTAGGAAATATGGAAGAATTATTTTTAATTAATGGAGCAATCTAAGACAAAGCTTGACTTGAAAGAAAGGTTCTAACTGGACCAATACAAGATGCTTTTGTGAAAAACCGTTGAATTTGAAATAAAAAAATTAATTTTTATTTAATTTAGAAAGCCACAAAATTATAAAAAAATTCCATCAAATTTCTTTAAAAGATTAATTTTTAGTTTTTTTTTATATTAAATTATAGTCTAAAATACATATATTTTTTAAATTAAAATAGACCTTAGTAATAAACTTCTTAGAATGACTTATTGAGTAGCTATTGTCATTTTTTTCTTTGGTTATTATATATGGTAATATGGAAATATTTATTTTACTTAAAAGAAGGTCTCTATCTAGACTATTAATGCTTCAAGAGTATTTATAATTGAATCCACTTTGATTATTTTGAAATTTGCCTCTTAACTTCTTTTAATCGAAATAAAACAAGAAGAAATAATCAATCTAAAAGAGAATAATTTTCAAACTCTTAAGTGTTTTAATATTTTTAAGAAGATGGATAATCTGCTTTCTATTTAAGAAGACCATATTCCAATATTATGTTATATTAGTCTTGACAAATTTTTACAAAAATATCATTTAAATAAAATAATACTCCAAGAATTCACAAGATTCAATATTTAGATATTTTTTTATATCTTAAATAAGAAATTATGACTAGGCACAAGAATAAGACTACAATGCATATAATAAGCCATTCGGATTGCTTTGTTGAGACTAAGAATTCCTTCAACCTTGACTCTTATATATACAAGGTACAAAGAAGATTCTTGAGAAATTTTCTTGATACTTAGAAATAAAGAAAGTTCCAAAGAATCTTCTATTACCATCTAAGATCCACTAGGACCTTCTACAACCTTCTTAAAGTCTACTAGAATCTATTAGGGCATTCTCAAAACCATCAAGAGCCTTCTAGAACCTTATAGGATCAAGTAGAAGCTTTTAGAATCTTCCTCTATTGTATATTTGTAATACTAGTCTCTTCTAATGTTTTAAGATTTGTCTTCTTTAAAGTCACCAACCATGTCTTTTAATAATCATTCGTATTTTAAATACTTCTTTAATACATAGATGTTAGCAATGCTAAAAGTATCTGTATATAATCCTTTAAAGATGATCTATAGAAGCTTTTTATAAAGTTGACAATCTACATTGTTTACTATTTATTTAATATAGTTGATATAACAATACTTACTCCCTCAACTTTGGCTTTATTTAAGTTCATAGTATAACATAGAGTTCATTCAAAAATATAAAAATAAGATTCTTCAAATAATATTGTCTCTAAGCCTTAGGCTCTTTCATTGCAAAGTTCATGTTTTTAGACAAAAAAATATATTATATTTAGATTTAATATTAAAAATATAATTCCTTATTTTTGATACTTTAATTTGATATTTTAACCTCTTTTTATTGTAAAAAATAAGATTTAAATTTATAAAAATATATAGATATTTAAAAACTTATATATTTGGACATTTAATCTCATTGATATTTTTAAAAATTCCTTCTTATATCTTATAAGAAATTAATACGATTATTTTATTTTAAAATCACTTATGTACCATTTTTAAGTTAGATTATAAAAAATGAAAACATCCTTTTATTTCAATATTTCCTTAGGAATTATTTATTTTTTGAAATCGCCAAAGTAAGGTATTGAGATAAATTGGAAAAAAAAAGATGCTTTGTTCAATTAATCTAAAATTAATCAAGGTTGAGTTTGTAGACCATCTCATTTGTATATTATATTTCTTTTTTCTTGTCATTTTTGTTCCATTGCATTTGTTTTGTTTCTATGCATCTTCTCCATGTGCTTGAATTACCTTAAAATTTAGGTTGGTTGTAATATATTACATCTCTTTTATTTTTTTTATTATTTATTTAGTTATATTTTTCCAACAAAGACTTTTTTATCCTTGCATTTGTAGCCTAAGGATCTCCTATACTAAAGATTGTTGGTTCCAATTCATTTTTTTATAGTAATCTTAGCTATTAAATTGAATCTTAATCAAAAATTAATATTTGCTTTATTGTAATCATACAAACTAAACTTCTTCTTAAAATCAGTAGTACCAAAGAGAGGCTAATTTTTTTTTGTCTTGAGTTCCAATGTAATTAAACTCTTTAGTTTTTTATTAAAAAAGATGTAAATTATCTTTAAAAATATCCAATGTTTGGAAATTCTTGTCATATATTGAACAATCTATGTCCATTTTGTTCTTTCATAATTTCATGCCTACTTTAATTTATTTTTATTGCTCTATTATCTAATAATCATCTTTTTTTAGATTTTTCTTTATTTTAATCACTTTAATCTAATAGCAACATCTAGACAAGTTTGTATTATATTTATTTTATTTTTAAGTAGTAAATAGAAGGTTTTTTTGTCTTATGTTTCTTTTTACCTTAAGTATCAAAATCCTATGTTTCTTAATTATGGCTCACATTCATTTTTTAGTGGTTTGTCTCTTCATTTACTACAAATTATATGGCATATTGCAAACACATTATTGGATTTATAATATTCATATCTAAAGTTTGTTCATCTAAATTAGTCTATTCTATTAATATTTTAAATCTACTTTTTGTCAATATTTCAATAATTATTTATTGTTGTATGTTTGGAGATTATTCTAAGCTATCTTTAAAGATTAATGCAATACTTTGTATGGACAATGTTATTTCCACAATGCCAAATTCTTTTAGAAAATTTATTTTCTTTGAGCATTGGCTTGAGTTTTCATAGATGTCACTAGTTTCTTTGTCCAATCTTATTGTATGTCTTAGTGAGGACTCATCTCTCAAATTATCATATTGCCTCTAACAACTACTTTCTTGTTGACTCTTTTTTTCTATTATTGATTTCCTTTTCTTTTCCTATTAATTTTATAACAATAAATTTATTTGTGGTGTTACTTACATGTTTCTTGTTTGCTTGCTGAAAGCCTTCTAAAATTGATCTTTTACTTCTTATTATAATTAGCTCTTTTATCTTTTATTTTATAAATCTTGATTTTTTTATTTTTTTTATTTTTTTTTTGCCAATTAAGATGAGAGCTATAAATCAAATTTTTTCCACTTTAAAACATCTCAAGTTGTTGCACTTAGCTTTTTCCAACAAATAGATAAACCTTGATCAATTCTCAAATCTAAAAGACATCTTTAACTACTTCTATTAACGTCTTGATTGTTTTTTGTAGTTTATTTGTATTATTTATCGAGTATTCTAGATAGCAAGTTGTAGATTTTTGTACATACCTAAGAATTGTTTTGCCCTCCTTTTGTAAAACTCCTCTTTAATTTGAGTTGTTTTTGAGTTTCAAATTACCTTGGAATCAAAATTAGGATCCTATGTTTAAAAGATGTACATCACTATAAAGGTACAATAGGAAAAAATGAAGATTTTCCTAAGTATGTCTTTTGTTTTTTACTTTCAAATAGAAGAAGTATCTTCCTAAACTTTTCTTTAATTACCATAACTTATATAAGTTAAGAAGCCGTTTTACACATTTCTTCCAATAAATAAAATAAAATAAAATAAAAATTATAGCATGATTGATTATTTATTTTATTTCAACATAAACTATATTTAAATCAATTTTAACCTTCTTATGTTTTGATTTTTAAAATAAGTAAATAAATAAAATAAAAACAAAAAAAATAAAAACAAACAAGAACAACTACAACAAGCATAATTAGGTCTTTAACCACTTAAAAGTTGCTCACCAATGTAAAATCTTGTTGGATGTGGCCTATCTTTCCCAATAAACAATCCAATGTTGACAAAGAGATATTGTTCTTCTTGCATGAAGAGTGGTGTGGACTTCATTTTGGCTTCTCATCTCCCTTGAACATTGATTTGCTCTCTAAACGGAGGCCACTGCTTTGCATATGATCTCATTGTGTCAAGTGTACAAGAAAATCCTAACAACTTAAAAACCCCCCCTTGTGCTGTCAAGGTTGCAGTCAAGGTTGCCTATGTTTCAGCTTTCTAATGCTCCACTCTTGTCAAACTAGGTGGGCGCAACAGCCACGCCTGCTATTTTTCTTCGAAGGTGTAGAAACAAAAAACACGGAGATCTCTCCTTCTCGGTCATCGATTCTCCAAGTAACCTATGCTAAGAATTTGATATTAAGCAGTGCAATGACTGATGTGGACGATTTAGTATTTAGTGATTCGTCATCCGCCCACTTTCGGGACATGCATAATGTGCGACGAGCAGATTGTCGCACCTCCACCCTTGGCATCAAACCTCACAGAATCCAACCTTAAATGCGGAATTTACTCAGTGTTTGAACAAAAGTTTTTCTGGACATCCTGGTTGTCGAAGGTGGATCACACTGGAACCATCTAATATCTCCTGGAATCCACAGGGGTCTCGATTCAAGTCATCACAATGTGGGCCATGCATGTATCTCAGCTTGTAAGTCAGCAATAGCCACATGTGACGTGATTGCGTTGAAGCCGCAAATTTGCCCAACAGGAAAGAAGATATTGAATCAGACGAGAGTCCACTCCAAAGTGACCACTTTCTGCGACTAATATGATATCTTCAACTCTAGTCTCTTCTTGTTTTGAGGACCAAGTGCGCAAATGGTTTTCATGTATGAAAACCTCGACTACGATATTACCATTACAGGTGCAACCAATGTTTTCAACCCCACGACGTGCCTATCCTGTACTGATTACAGGGCCCTTCAAACAGTGATGACAGAGCGCTTGAACACTTGACCAATATTGAAGGGTCAAGTGGTAGTAACCACTAAGGTTTTCAATTAATTAATTATGTACATACATTTCTTGTGTTCCAAGTAATTAGTAACCTTTTTCATGAGTCCAACAGCTAGCATCAAAATTGACGCACGCAATGACTGAAGAGAACAAGGTAATATTTGTTCATTTGTCCGTCACCTCCTTGCCGTGTGATAAAATGCACGACAAAGCAGGCTGTTGCACCTCTACTCTTGGCATCAGAATCTGACAGAAGCCAACCTCGATTACGTCGTACAGTCACTGCTCGAGCAAAATCTCTATTGGAATTACCATATGTAAAAGGTGCAACACAATGGTACCATTTAATATTATCCAGGAAACATGAGATGATCGATGTCATTGCGGAGTTTCAGAGCTTGCTCTTTGTAGAAGTTGGACAAAAGCCTGCTGCCACAAAGCATCCAGCTCATCAGTGACCGCATCCGAGTTTGAGGCTTTGGACTGTCGTGCCATGGCCCTGCAGCCGCAATCTCCTTCCAATACTCCGGCCAACATTGCATTTGTTCGGGCTGCTAGTTTAGCATTGTTCGGCAGCGCAATCAATTTGCGCATAGCTGTTTAGCCACATTAAAAGTTTAGAAGTGTACCCTTTCAAAATCAAAAAATTAATAATGTAACGTCACATGATTTTTTCATAATTATTTTAATTGAATTAGAACGTAAATTGACATACATTTGCATTGTTTTGAAGACCTATGCAATACACCAATGCAGTAGACCAATGCAGACTGTAGCTGCTCACCTTTCAGAGCAAACAACGATCTGCCTGTCGCGTTTGTGAGCCGCACGTCAAGAAGTTGCAAATCTGGTATCGCTGTCGAAAACCAATATTGTGGGGTTCAGTTGCTGCAAGTTATAATAAACGTATCCAACAAGATAGGTTTGTAGATTCACTTATAATTGCAACGTGGGCCAAGCATGCATCTCACCTAGCAAGTGAGCAACAGCAACATCCGTGATTTGAGTGGATTGAAGCCGCCAATATACCAAACTGGAAACAGGATATTGTCTCAGAAGAGTTTCTACTCCATGGTGACCACTTTCTGTAACTAACTTGATATCTTCGACTCTGGTCTCGTCTTGATGGGAGGCCCAAGTGTGCAAACGGCATCCATACGTGAGAACCTCTACCAAGCTGTCACCGATACAGGTGTAACCAATGTTTAAAGCCCGAAGACGTGTCAACCCTGCACTCATTGCAGGTTCCTGTCAACAGTGTGGAGAGAACTCTAAAACACAATTAATAATCAAGGGTCAAAAGATAATATGCAGTAAGGTATAAAACTGAGAAAGAGTTCACGTAGACACTGAAAAGTATTAGACAAACAGCACAACCCAAACATGAGGAGAGTAGGACGTGGAAATAATAAGGCAAGGGCGAAACAGAAGGCGCAGTACCGGATACGATGTAAGTGGCAAGATTGTCAGTCATGGCCGATACATTTTCGACATCTAAGCACTGCAATTGAGGTAATTCTGCACTCACATCATTCACAGACTCACTCTTTCAGATTATGCCATTCTACATACCCTCGAGGATAGCACAACATGCACGCAAAAACACTAACTAATTTTGAAAAGTCTTCATCAGATTTGTGTCCTCTGAAAGGCACTCCAGGAAGGTAAGAGATGATTAAAATATACATTGTGGGCCGCCAATAAGACGAAGAACTTCAGTGCAATGTGGTGGACATTTGAAGGATGATACTGAAAAGGAAGAGAAGAGAATATGAATTTCGTGCAGTATACAATGAGTTACCGATCAAAAAGGGAAAAAGAGATACCATACCTCGAATATAGAGAAGGGCTTCGGGAGGTAAGTGCACGCAATTTCGCAAAACCAGGCACTCCAAACAATTCAAACCTGCAAATCAATTCAGATCCAAATTCGGGTGAAGTACAATGTATTTTACAACCTGAGTAAACAAAGTGCACGCAATTGGCGCTATGGATGTCTAGTGGGTCCTCTAATCGAAACTTAAGTTAACAATCACACGAAAAGAGAGAACCGACAGTATCCAACCACAAAAGATTCAGGGTTCAACGAATTAGTAACATACCAGGAAGAAAATCGAGGTTCATGAGCCATGACCATCCTCTCAAATCAAGCCGCACAAGGTTAGGCAGAATAGAAATACATTGCACACCCCTAGAATTTATCGGCTGCACTCCACAGAGACTCAAATTTTGGGGATTCCAGGAAGCCTCGCAGACAAATTTCAGCTCTGATAAGGATGGAGCTGGAAACCTCCTTAGGAAACCTTGAAGAAGGGTTACAACAAGATCGTTTGGAATAAAACGGAGCTGGTGTGCAAGCTGAGGCAAAATTAGTGTCGCTTGATGCACGCAGAGCTGCATGAGAGACGGCCTTTCATACAGATCCGTGCGCCGTCTCTTATTTGAGGCTTCATTTTCAAGAGTTACAGACTTCCCATCAGTTGGCTCATAATACTGCTTTCCAGTTTCAACATCAGGAAACCTGCAATTCAACAAGCTTCTCTCCATAATCTTATATTGCACGAAAGTCTCCTTCACATTTCGAAACGAGATAAACTTACTCTAAAATCCTCAGAGAGATCTTCAAAATTAGGCTCGGATTTCTGTTCTGACTAACACTAAGCCCCAATGTCCAGATTCTTCAATTTCCAAAAAATCTCTCAGACAACCATTGCTTGCCAATTTTTGGATAGCTCCCACGAAAGCAATAAATCTATCGTCTAGTTGATAATCAACGTAGCAGAATATTGCCACAAACCACCGAAAAACAACAACTCAACTAAAACTTCCGCGACAACTTTTCCCTACCCAAAACCTAATTTCCTTAATTTCCGAGTGATTTTGAATGCTTACACCTCACCACTCAGAAACAAAACAAAACTATTGAAAACGACTCCGCAAGTTCACCTTCGTAACCACATGACAACCGCCCCACCTTTTCAACGTTTCGATTTTCAAAAAACTAGAAAAGATGCAACGTCGCTAGGAGCCGAACCAAAGCGAGGTTACAACCTAAGTGACAAATCAATCAAAGCATTCATCACGTCAAGGTGTTTGTTAAATCTTCAACAGCCAGCAAATTATTATGAGTGGTGACCATAGGCATAGAAGAGAGGCCAGTGGATTTGCCATGAAGGCATTTCGGGTTTGGGCGATATGCCTGAGACGTCGGTTTGGCCGCGTTGTGCGAAGCCAGCATGTTAAAGAAGCGTCCAACAGAGACACTAAACTCTTTTTTCTCTGTGAAATTAACCACTCTGGGTTCTAAAGCAGGAGAAGGTGGACTGTGTTAGACTTCGGCACCCATACATAACTTTTTAAGAAGAATCAATGTGCACTCCAGGAACACTCGCTTCACAAGAACCCGATTCCATGTGCACAGAACTTACACTAGGACTATGCGAATTGTCCACAAGCGGAGGTTGTAATTAGAAGTCAATAGTCAGATGGAAGAGGAAATTGCGCATGATTATGGATTTAAGCCTCTTCTCCAGCTTTTAAAGGATTCTGAAGACGAGTTGTCCTTCAGTGACCTATTCGACCCTTCTTCCGTCATCTTACTACAGTCTCAGACGTGGATTGCGAAGGCTGCATCAGTATTCCAGATGAAATAACCGAAGGGTCTAGGGGAGGGTGAGTTGATTCTACTACCTCACAGCTGTTCACGCTTTCAGAGACTAATATGGGCTTTTTACTGGAGTAGTGTAGGTTCAACTCAAAAGCTAAACATTAGCGATAATTGTGCACGACAATTCCCGACAGCAAAGGCAAGGTACAACTACACGATAATACATTCTGATTCACCGGAGGGTCTTTGATTGTTAGGGCAGTTCAAGTAATTTTGCAAGGCCGTTTGAGGTGCTTTAGGACAATGAAAACGTTCAGATATCACTTTGAAAATTTCTGCTGCAACTGACCCATTGAGTTCACAAGACACGAGACATCATACACTCCATAATCACTACTCCATTATACAAAACTACATCATACACTTCCAAGTCAAAACCATATGGATGAGGGCACAAACTATTACAAAATGAAATCGGCGCCAACGGAAGTCACAAAGAAAAACACAAACGCCAAAAAGACATCCAGCTCAGAGAAAAATACACCCCACAATAGCTAGCATGCCAAGCCTGTTTAAGTATCAGGAATTCGTATCATGTTGGAATTCGCTAGATTCAGTTACGTGAAGGTACAAGACTCGCCTGCCTCCATCCTCAATAAAGTGAAACGACTAGGAGTTAACAAACACAACAGACATGAAGATCTAGGCAATTTGTTGCGATTTGTTCAGGATAACTCCCTCGTACTTAACTTGGAACCACTTCATGGCATCCTCCTTGGTGACACGGTGTTGAATACCAACACGGGATTTGGCTCTCCTCCTTCGGCCCACTCTGTATCCTGGGCGTTCCAGGACAACGTAGAAATCCATACCGTAGATACCTGTGGAAGGATCGTACCTGAAGACAAATGGGCATGAATGTTGAGCCACGGGTAAAAAGCAAGAGTTATCTTTCACTTAGTAGGATGCAATATAACTGATCAGTTGGTGAGATGCATTCCTCCGATACGAAATAGATCTTCATTCTGGAGGAAACGTATTTCAGAGGTCAAAAGGGCTGGCCGAGCGATGAACTTACTTAATGCCGAGATCGATGTGCTCTTGGATACCGAATCCAAAACATCCGGATTCACTGAAGTTGCGGCGCAGCAACTCGTATTCCTTCACCTTCAACCCACTTTCAAGGAGCTGCATCGCCTTCTCACCACGAACGGTGACATAGCATGCAATTTTCTCATTACGCCTGATACCAAAGGATCGCACAGTGTACCTTGCTGCAAAGCGGATGCTCGTGTAAGAAAAATAAATTAATAACTCTGAATTTGCTTCCAAAGGTATGATTGCCATTAACCCTTATTTGAGAATCCATTTATGAGATATCATGAGGCATGAACAAGCATAAATACGTACCCTTTGAGAAGACGGGGGACTGACCGCTCAACTGCTCCAACACCTGAAAGGAAAATGAAGCATAAATGAGGGACCAGCCCCAGCCCATCTTACGACCATCCGCTTGACGTGAGCAAGCGAACAGGCTTAAGAATGGCAGAAGTACTGACACAAATTACAAAGAAGTTAAACCTAGCTAACAGCAATCAATGGACATACAAAAATAATCTGCAAAATACCTTGGATGCACGAGTCAATCTGTCTCCACTCTCTCCCACGGAGATGTTGAGGACAAGCTTCTGCACTTTAATCTCCCGCATGGAGTTCTGCATCTTCTTTTCTGAAGCCTGTGCAACGCAGAAACCATACCATAAGCAACTCAGAGTTCACGCCCCGAGGATACCGACATCACAAAGTAGAACCCTTCCAGTGCAACTTCCAACGACAGTTACGATGTCTGGCCGTCTAAAATCAGCTGAAAGGAAGCCACTATCGTTTACAAAACCATGATCCTTCACCACAATCGACTGGTCCCTAAATACCGATAACCCTAATTTAGTAAACCTAAGAATTCACAGCATAAATACGCTCCACTGCGAGTTATCTTATCGAATACTCCACGATTACATAAATCCGTTTCAACGTGAAGAAAAGAAACATTCAACATTAATCCCAGATTGAACTGCCGCCCTAAACCCTAAACTCAATAATCCACCTGACACCCAAGATCTATCACCTCCATTCCAGAAAATGAGAAATGGGAAATCGCAGAAAATCATAAAATAAACAAATAAAACGAAAGCCATAGAGATGGAGAAGAATCATTACCATAGCGGCAAATTTTGCTCACAGCGCTACCGACGACGACGGGGCCGAAGACGAGAGAAAGAGCGCACACGGATCCGTGTTCTTCTTCTTCACAAGCTCTTGGTCGTAGATGGATGATACATATCGGACGATATTGGATGAATACGTGGAAATAGGTGCTCCCCGGACAAACGGGATTGCCTGTGACCTGAACCCGCGACCATGGTCTGTGCAATTGACGGACCAACAGAAGCATCAGGCCGGATATAAAACTTATCGCAGGGTATACACAGCGAAGTTCTGGAGATGGACCTCGATATGGTAAATTTGTGAAATGGCACTGAGAAAACATAATAAATACTTCTGAAATGTTCATAGAGAAACAATAAAAAAATATGTTAGGATCATTTATTCACGAATGTCCATTAAATGTCTAGAAATGTATACATCAAATGTCCAGAAACAAGTATTAAAATCATTAATTTTAAAATAACAATATTTATCTATTGAGCGAGTTGCATTTAAAGTACATACATATATGCATGTGTGTTAATAAACCCAAAAGCCTGAAAAGAAAAAAACGTTAATAAGATTAAAAATTCAAATAAATAAAGAAAATAAACACATTTTTAATAACAAATGTTACAGAATTTTTCTTCAGACGAAGCTACAAGCACACCCCAAGTTGCTACATGCACATTCATGATGTTTATACACACACTTTCCTTGGGATCATCCAGATCCCCTTTCCCTTGTCCTGCATGGGTCCCGGTCCCCTCCTGCTCGTCCTTTTCTCTTCCTTCCATTCCCTAACAGGGTCTTGCCGCCTCTCTTCGTTTCCCCTGAGCGCGGAGGAGACGGACTCGGTCTGTGTTAATTTCTATCCCTTCACAGCTTTATGACTCTTGCGCTGTCGTTCTCTCCCCTCTTCATCCCATCACAAACGTGAACTCTGCCATCCTCTTCGTTGCGGATGCTCCCTTTTTTCCTGCTCCGACTTCTGAACCCGTTTGCCATCACTGTGTGAGGACTGCCAATTGCTTCCACTTTCGATGAAGCACCCCTAAATTCGGTTGCGTGGCGACTGATGTTACTTCAACGTCTTAACCCCCGCAGAATCTGAACGGAGTTATGGTTCATCTCACTACTCCCTTCTGCAACCTAGCAACATTTTGCAACCTCTATTCTACAAAATTTAATGCTAGGAATTTGCGTTATCTCGCAAGAAATGGTATACGATTTTTACCGCGTCTTGATACTGAAAAGAAGTGATTATAGATCGGCGGTTGACTTGGCGAAATCTATTCACAGCTTGCATTCTAAGATTCCACGCTGTTAATCTGTACAAAATCACGGGGAATCCACTGTGTGTTTTTCAGTACTCTGTGGGTAAAAGGTAAGATTACTGTGCTTCCGGCAAACTCTGCTAGGTTGTAGAGTTGTGTAGCTCATGACTTTTTTAAGTCGTGATCCCTCATGACATTATCTTTGCCCACATCAACACTGTCACAAAATCAATGCTGAGAGGGGAAAAAGTGTGAGCTTAGCCCCATTTTTTTGGAGAAGAAGTATGAATTCATGTGAGGGAAGATTCTTTTCATCGTGTACAGTCAAAACACTCGCTCCACTTGCGTATTTCTTAATTGTAGAGTGGGGACATGATCCTTGCATTGCGAGATCAGAGTCAATATACCGTTCACTGTCTCTCAACTGTGGATCCCTACTCCCCAGAACCCATAGGATATGCATACAATATTTTAAGTGACTTAAAATTGTAGTACCTACTTCCAAAGAAAGCAATGGTTTTCGAGGAAGCTCTGATTGTGAAAGAGCCATTTGCGGAGCATTCGCGAATTCAGGGACGTCAATGCTGACAAAAAGTGCTCAGTTAGGAGGTTTTTGAAATGTTGACAAGAAAGGAAGGGGACCGGGACCCGCTCAGGGGAAAGGGAGAGAAGAAAAGGGACCCGGATCCATGCAAGGACAAGGGAAATGGGATCTAGATGAACCAATGGGAAGTCTTTGGTGTGTGTAAAGATAATATGGGTGTGTGTATAGACATTATGGGTGCGCGTATGGTAACTTGGGGCATGATCTTAGCTTCAACCTTGTTCTTTGAGTTTGAGTTATATGATTTATTCATGTGTATGTTGGAAACACATGAAATACCTCAATGTGAGAAGCAAGATGTGCCCTTCATAACAAAAACAAAAAAACAAAAAAAAACAAACAAAGAAAAAAAATCATTAATTTTCGAGTATACCTAAAATTTCGTAACAACCACCAAAAATCAAAATAATATGTTCAATTTAAACATAAATCTGTTGTAAACTTACGATCAATTTGAATCAAATACAAGTGATTTTAAAAAATAATAATAATTTTATTACATCCAAAATATATTTTTATAATATTAATTTAATCTATGTATATATTCTCAAAAATTAAAAAAAAAAAAAAAAAAAAAAAAACTCAAACAATGGTTTTAAACATCACACTTTCATATATTTAAAAATAATAATTTACTTCATGAAAAGTAAGTATCATTTTATAAATATCATTTGACATTCTATACATATAATATCAATAAGAATGATTTTGTGCATAAAAATTTTATTATAAAATACTATATATATATATATATATATATATATATATATATATAAACTTAGTTTTATTTATAAATATGACAATAATTGAGAGCTTTTTCAAAGAAACATATATATATATATATATATATATATATATTCTTACTAGTATAATAAGATGGATTTCTAAATTAAAAATTGAAAATAAGTTTGAATAGTTGTGTTATAAATTTATTAATTTTCATTATATCAATCTAATTATCTTTAAATCTTATAATTTAAAGTTACTGTTGATGCAAAAGTTAGGTGTACAATATCTCTCACACAATTTTTAGTATTGGTAAATAATTATACTTAAAAAGCAGAAATATGTATTTAAATTCAAAATAAAATGTCATTTGAAATTCAAAATAAGAAACAAATAGTTTATAAAAAATTGGTTTGGCATATATAGATTGGAGTACTGTAGTTTATATATCTTGATAAGAGTTTTGTTTGAGATTTTTTTTTGAAATATCTGCTATTAATAAAAAGATAGTAAAAAATATTAACTTCAAAAGGAAAAATATTAATTTTAAATATTGAATGTTATATTATAGAATATAATATAATATATATATATATATATATATATATATATATATATATATTTAATATTGATATAAATATCATTGACATTAACACAGTCATAAAATTTCTTCTAATAATTATGTTTAAAGTTTAAGATTTAGAATATAGGTAAATTTATAAATTTATAAAATCCTATAAATTAAGTTATAAATATTAAATCTTAAAAATAATTTAATTTCTAAATTAAAATAATGTAATATATTTTTATTCAAATATTGTTTTATGATTATTTTATTATATATTTTAGCTAAAATTTAATATGTATTTCTCATGATATAAAATACAATTAAACTTAGAAAAGATAATATACTTTTATTTCACAAAAACAGAGAAAGTAGAAATATTAAAGATAGATATAAGATTAAAATTACAATAGCTATTGTCAAATATAAATAAATTAGATAGTCTTCAATTAAGACTTTTAAAAAAAAAAAAAAAAAAAAAAAAAAAAAAAAATCATTAATAGTAATAGAAAGGCCTCACTCTTGCCTCCATACATACTATCTAACTAAGTAATTCTAGGATATCTTCTTATAGATTACATAGCATGTATTTAACTTTTAATACATGTTTCGGACTTATGCACTATCTAATCAATTTTTTGTATAAGTAGCAAATGTGTATAACATGTATTAATTTTTTTAATATAAGTGGCTAATATATGCAACATATAGCCAACTTATTGACTAATTTTCTAACCTATGAGTGACCTACTATCAATGACATGAATCTTGAAGAAAGAAAATCCTCAACACACTCTTATATCATTGAAAGGAACTAGAAAGTCACTCAAAGTTGATATAATATTGAACTTAAATGGCTATTGCCAAAAACAAGAAAACTAGGAAGTATTGAAATAAGTCTAAGGACTAAAAAGGCATTGATAAGAATGAAGAAGGCTTTCCTCTTGCCTCAATATATACTCTTTAATTAGAATCTATATGGAGATATTTCATAGGACCTCCAACATGTGTTGATTTTGCTAGCCACATGTCTTAACTTGCAAGGCAACTTATTTATGTATGCACTGTAGTATTACATGAAGTCTTGCTTGAGAATGCTCTAGGCACTTGGCTGTAAAAGATAAAAGGGATTTGCAATAACAAGTCTTAATCACTCTAATAAAATCATATATAAATCACTATATAAGCTTAACAAACATAATCAAACATCAATTAAGTCCAATTATTGTTATTGTTATTTTATTTTTTAAATAAAATTTAAAAAATAAAAATAAATCTTAAAGAATTTAAAGAATCCTAAAAAAAACCTAAAGAAATCAAAAAGCACCTTCAAAGAATTTCAAAAGAATCCTAAAGTATTCCAAAGATATCTTAATGTCACGGACATACATATAATTACCTATATGAATAGATAAAAGTATGTAAAAGTAGGTTAATTGTGTAATATCTTCTAGAGAAGCTTCTTAGAAGCTTCATAGACACTGCTTTGACTTTATAGGAGTCTATAGTTGACTTTTAGGTTAGAAACTTGGTCAACAAGTTAGCCATGTGCCATGCATGTTGGAAGCTTAAAGAACAAGCTAACTACGTGGTCTATCCATAGAAAACTTGCCTTGCAAGCAAAGGCATGTGGCCTAGAAAGTCAACATATATTGGAGGTCTTATAGAACATCGCCACGTGGCTTCTAGTTAGATAGTATATATAGAGGCCAGAGTGAAGCCCTCTTCACTCTTGTCAACTCCTTTCTTGCTTCTAGTCTAGTTTCAAGGGTCTCTAGTTTTCTTGTATTTTGGCAATAGCCATTCCAGTTTCTTTCTTAATATACATATTTCTATTTTGTCCTATTTCTTTTTGAGAAAAGTCTCACTTACTCTTTAGCTTTCATCGAGTTCTTGTCCCTGACAGATTGACAAGAGTACACTTACAATATCAGAGCTTTATCTTTTCTTGATTAAGAGTGGATTACCCCTTTTTCTTGATAAG